ATGTAAAGCTAAGCCTTAACTTTAATTTTATCCCACCACATAAGATCAGAAATTTCTAGCCTTCGCAGCTCCGGGTCACATCCCTAAAGTGGTTGCCGCCGCCATTATGCGTCTTTAAAACTTCCATGAGGGATTCCAGAGGTAGTCCAGTTTGAAATAGTGGCACTGTTCCCATATTTGGCCTGGGTACATGGTTGTACTCCACTGCATCATCCGAATTTGGTAACTGTAAACAATATCAATCCTTTGACGGGGGTAAGCTGTTTTGCTCACTTTTTCTGAAATTTTTGTTGCCAAACCAAGTGGGTGGTGTTTGAGGGTTCTTGTTATTATTGTACTTAGTTTTTTTGGTACTAAGAAGTGAAAGTTACCAAAGCCAGGGCCCAATATACTCAACCCGGAGAAAACTCTTCTTTTCGGTAAGTGATAAACTCTAAGGCTATCGGCAAGTAGCATATGAGAACTACTTCTAAACGACAGTTGCCGTCCCTGCAGTGAGTGATAAACTCTAACCTATCGGCAGGTAGCGTATGAAAACTACCTCTAAACAATAGGTGCTAGCTTATATTTTATTCATTTCACCAGGTGTATTATATATCGGGTTTCTTGTTTTTCAAGTTGGATTCTTCCCAAAAATTTTGGTACGAGAGATCGTTGGTGAGAGTTGTTTATTTTTTCTTTTGTTTCTGTTTTCTTTTTTAGAATAATTTCTATTTTTTTTCAGTTATGAGGGAGCTTTTAGAGAGTTTCTTTAAATGTACCTTCCTTCATAATATTGGCATATATGTTAGTCTTATGTAGAAGTAGGAGGTAATATGTATAATCTGCTGGGATTTAAGTGGATTGAGTTTGGGAAGATATTACCAAAATTTAAGGTGGGATAACTCGAAAGAAGGGATCGGCTCTTAAAAGAAGTCTTTCTTTTGTAAATTGGCATATATGTTTGTGCTACGCAGAAGTAGAAGAAAATATATTCTGCTCAAACATTGGTGGAAGAAGTTTAGAAGAAAAGTAAAATATAATCAGTTCGAACTTAGGTAGCTGAGTACCAAGCTATAGCAGGTTTTTAAATATAGGTAGCACCGTATGTGGAGCTTGTTGGCAAACATCAGTGCGGTAACCATACTTGGGCACTTTATAGCAGCTGGGTTTATACCTAATACATAAATTAGATAGTAATTTTGTAAGTTATAAAAATTCTAATAAATTAGTGCAAGGTTATCAAAGGGAAAAAAAAAAAAAAATTAGAACCGATACAGATAAACTAACACAATCTACACCTACTCGACCTCTTGAAGATAGTAATATACCTACTCCAACTACAACTATTTTAACACCAACAACAACAAATTTACCAACTACAACTATTACTATACCAACACCAACTATTACTACACTAACACCTACAACCTCTTTACTAACAACAACTACAACTATTACTTTTCCAAAACCATATACTAATATTGATATTACAACAACAAAAACAACAAAAATTACTACTATTCCACAAACAACACCAAAAACAGTTCCAAAAACAACTACAACTATTAATACAACCACAACATTTCCTAAACCAGAACACTTTGATAATTTAATTAGTTGTCCTATTTGTAAAGATGAATTTAAAGAATCAGAAATAGAAACTCATTTAAAAGATCATATTAAAAATCCTCTACTTAAAGATACTATACATGATAAATTAAACAATCAACAGCATATGATAAAATGAGAGAAATTATTAATAAACTTACAGATGTTCAAGTAAAGGATTTAGTAGATAAAATACAAAAACTTATCGAACAATATGGTGAACAATTTATTGATTATATTCCTGATGATATGAGAGAAAAAATTTTATATAATTTTGATAAAATCATGATTGGAGTTATTGGTTCTATTATTAGATTTTCTAATTTATCTGTTTTCTTTTATCAATTTTATTTTTAATTTTCTTATAAATATTGTATTTATTCTCTATTAATAAAAATAATGTCATCTTTTGTGATATCAAATAAAATAAATAAAATAACTAATGAAAACAATAATCTTAAAAATGAAAATAATAATCTTAAAAATGATATTGAAGAATTAAGTGAAGAAAATAATAATCTTAAAAATGATATTGAAGACTTACGAAGAAAATTATTAGAATATCAAAACTATGAAAAAAAT